TTTTAAAGATCCAACAGAAAGAAGGCTGACATACCTCCCAGTCAGATCTAATATAAAGTGAAAGAGCCCTCATATACATGAATGTTCAACCAGTGGTTGGGGGTGGGTGACAAGAAGGAGGAAGGTTGAGAGAAAGAGAGAGAGAGAATGTAGAGAATGCAACATAACTGAGGATTAAAGTCTTAGAGTATTGGAGTTCAGGACATTACCCAAGCAGGGAATTTTACTTGGTGGGTTTAGGGCAAGCTGGCATGAGTCTAGGAGGTCCATTCTGTGGATTTGAGGTGCTCTCTGCAACATATCTATACTGTCCATGCCAAGCAGTAGGGTAAGTCAAATAGATTGTATCTAGTTCTCCCATAAAAAAAGTTGTTCTCAGGAGGCAGCTGTATAGGCAGGTATCTCCATCAACTACTTTAGGGAACATGGAGAAGGCAGAAACTAAAAACTGTTAAAGGTGACTCAATCCTACTTCTAATATGAGAAAGTCCAATTTATATTGAAAATGAGTATCTAGGTAACACCAAAATATAAGAATTCACTGCAGATATATGTACTCTCATGTTCATTACATTATTTCAGAATAATGGAGATATGGAAGGAACACAAATATCTGTTAACATATGAATGAATAAAAGATAAGGTGTATTTATACAATGGAGCACTATTAAGGTTGAAGGAAAGAAGAAAATTCTTATATTTTTGATGACATTAATGGACCTGGAGGACATTATGCTCAAGGAAATTAGCCAGAAACAGAAAGACAAATGCTGTATGATATCTCTGTATGATATATAAAATCTAAAAGAATCAGATTCATAGCAGTTGAAAGTGAAATGATTATTAACACAATCTGGGGTTGGAGGAAGCGTAATCAAAAAGAAATATGTTTTCCAAAAGAAGCAAAGTTAAGTTATGGAGAATAAATTCAAGAGATCTAATGCATTGCATGGTGACTACATTTAAGAATATTTACATTTCAAAATTGCTTATGAGATGATTTTTTAAAAAATTTTTTGTAGTTGTAGATGGACAGAATGCCTTTATTTTATTTGTATATAGTGTTACAGATCCAACCCAGTGCCTCACATTTGCTAAGCAAGCTCTATGCCACTTAGCTACAGCCCCAGCCTGCTAATGATATTTTTTTAAAAAAATTCACCACAAGAAATATTATGTGAGGAAATGAATATGTTAATTAATTTGGTTTAATCATTCCACATCATGTGTATGTGCTTTAGTCAGCATTTTGCTGCTGTGACTAAATGACCTGACTAGCATAACTGTAGAGGAGGAAGAATTTATTTGAGGGCTCAGTCTTTCAGAGGTCTTCGTCCATAGAAGGTTGGCTCCATTCCTTGGGGCTTGAGGTGGGGCAGAACATCAGGGCAGAAGAGTATGGCAGAGGGAAGTAGCTCACATCATCAGGAAGCAGAGACAGAGTCACCACTTTCCACATACAAAATATATACCCCAAATTCATGCCCCAATTCCCAATTCCTCTAGCCACACTCTACCACTTCAATTACCACTCAGTTAATTCCTATCAGGGTATCAATTCACTGATTGGGTTAAGACTTTCATAGCCCAATCATTTCTGCCCTGTACCTGCATAATTGTCTCACACATGAGCCTTTGGGGGACACCACATCTAAACCATAATAACATACATCACAGCATCACATTTGACCCTATAAATATATCAGCAATTTTTATCAATTGAAACAGAATACAATATATAAAAAATTTAAATTATATTTGGATTTCTTACTAAACATCTGAAAAGATAAAAATGGAATTGATTTTTTTCTCCTTGCAGTTCTGGGAATGGAATGCATGAACCTGCATATGCTAGGCAAGCACTCTATTACTGAACTGTATTTGAAGCCAGTTTGGAAGTCAATGTAAAAGAAAATCAGGAAAGTACACGTATTGTAGGAGAGCTCTACATGCTTCTACTTCTATATGAAGTTTAATCTTTGCATTTTCCAGTTTTTCAGTTTCATTGCACCTAATCCTTCACTACTTCTAACAGATTGTCTTATCAACTTGAGTATTTGCCTCATGGACAACTGAGGGAATAAGTCAGATGATTCAGGACAACATGTTTCCTTTATTGTTGATATAACTCACAGCATCTTTTTCCATGCTGCTCAGTGATAAATTTACTGTCCTCTCAGGAAGACCACAACAATATAATGAAGGTATTTCTGTGAAGAGTTTTATTCTGCAAACATTACACCATTCTAACCAGGACAGCTGTTTGAAGGGCATTAATTATAACTTTGGGATTTATCCTCCCAAAGGCCCCAGTCAAAGAAAGAAAATCCCATTATTCATCTTATTTTCACAAAGGTCCCATTTGGTCTGGGATAAGGAGTATATCCCCTGATACCTTCAATACCCTAATGTGTTTCCAAATTCTTCTAAAGCAAATCTTTTGGACAAACTGAAGCTCTATCTTCTGTGGCAATGATGATCACAATCATTTTCACACTCTGCTATAGAATAGAATGAAGCACTTTAGCAAAAATGGCATAAGAAAACAATTAGGTTCATGTTGTCAATTGCATGACAAGCAGAGAACCCCTCCATCAGTTTATACATGGTGAGGTTATAGACCAAGAGGAGAATGACAGGAAAGGTGGACAAACACGGTAAGGTCAGTATTGACAGAAGTTGATGTAACTGTTACATTTTCACATTGCCAAAATAGTAGATTTAGAATGCTCTCACTACAAAAAGTGATAAATATGTGAGGTGATATATATGTTAACCAGTTTGATATAATCATTTCACAATGTCTACATATTTCAAGATACTACATTGTGTCCTATAAATGCATAGAAGTGCTATGGTTCGAAACTACAATGTCCCCAAAAGTTATGTCCTAGAAGCATGGTCCTGCATAAGAAAAATTTCAGAAATGGAGTTTTTAGGCAATGACTAGTGCTTTGAATTCATCAAATAATTAATCCATTAGTAGTTGAATGGACTACAGGAAGATGGCCATAGTTGGAAAAAGGAGGTCACTAGGGACATGCCCTGGAAGGGTTTATCTACCCCTGGCCCCTTTCTTTCTCTTTGCTTCCCAGCTGCCATGAGCTGACAGCTTTCCTCACCATCCTTCTGCCATGATGTTCTGCATCAGTTCAAGCCCAGAGCAATTGAGTCAGCAAACCTTGGACTGAAACTCTGAAACTGTGAGCCCCAAATAAACATTTTCTACTTTAAGTTGTTTTGGTCACAGCTACAAATAGCTGCCTAATAAAAAAGGATTTTAAATAAATTAAAATTAAAAGAATAAACCATGTAGGAATGAATATGACAGAATTAGAAAAATGTCTGTTTATAATAATGAGTTCTAAGCCATGTTTTTGCCTGATAGTATTTGCTTTAAAAGAAAAGAGGATAACTTAATTCATAGATCATTAAAATTATGTTTGATAGGATCTTCGTTTTCCTCTTTCTTCCAGCAAGAAGAAAATTAAAGCTCTGACATTTTCTCTACATGAATCATCTATTTTCTATTTAGTCTTTCATATTGTATGCCTTTTTTAATTTCTGGAAGAATGCTGGAATATATGTTATGCAACAGATGAAGTGATATCACAGGTGATACTTTAAAATTAATCCAAGCAGCTGCATAAGGGAAGAAAATGATGCTGCATCACAAAAAGTTTTCATGGTTTTTGAGTTCAATGACCTTGCAGCCTTAGAGAACCATTACATCATTTTTAAGACATCTTGTACCTTAGAGAACCATTACATCATTTTTAAGACACAAAATTGCACAATATGAAGCATGAAGAATTTCCCAAAGACTGAAGCTGAGTCCATTTAGCTGAATTTGTCTTTGTAATATTTTCTAAGATTATGAAAAGGAGAACTGGTTGAGAAATGGGAAGAAACTGAAGAAGTGGCATGACAAAACTATTCAGGAATATTTAAGTGGTGGGTTAGTGTATTGTGTAGAAAATACTATATAATAAAATAGTGTTTATCTTTTCTATGAGTGATTGATAGTGCACAGAGAAAATAAGCAAATAAGAATTGAAGTATCAGTGCATCATTTTTTTTATAAAGGAAAAACTGCAATAAATATTAATAAATTTGTTACTGTATTTTTATACAGTGTTCACATATCTTCAATTATATTTTACTATTAGTTAATGTCTATTCAGAAACCTGTTACAAATAAGGGAAAACCTAAATTTTGACTCAGGCTTACATAACACCTCATTATTGTTTTGAAGTATATGAAACTTCTTAGGAACTCTCTTTAAATCCTGTTGTAGTGGCCTCACAGCCATGTGGTATACACACTTTAAAGTCCAAGTACTACAATTAGAGCTCCTCTCCTCTTTCCTGCATCCCCAAACCCTCCATTTCTCTTGCTCCCACATTTTTAATATATTTATCTTTTGTGTTCAAAAGATATTTATTAATTTTATTTGCATTGCAAATTGAAAGCATACCATCACTGATTTCTCCACTCAGTTTTATTCAGACTGTGAATTCTTGTGAATTGGTGTATATGCATGTGTGTGTGTTTGTGTTATTTTTAGTCTAGAAATAAACTGCTAGCATAAATAATTTATTAATAATATTTTATTATCTCTATAATCATATTCAGTTAATTATAAGCTAATATTATTTATATTCTAATGTCATTCCCAAATTGTATTTCTTCACCTGATAAACATTTATTTATATAGAAAACCATTAAGACTAAAGTTATTCCTTTTTCTATAACAAATATTAATTTAGGAATTGTATGAAGTCACTCACTTGAGAAGTTACTTATCATTTCTGCAACAGCACAAATGTCTGAATGAAACATACAATGAAAATGAGAAAAAAATTACTGCCATTAATGAACATAGTGTTACAATTGGAATTGACACATTTTTCTTTAATCTCTTTGCAAGTATTTGACAATGTATATATAGCTTTTGAAGTTTAAGTGATTCTTTCCTAAAAATAGGAAAAAAAATTGAATGATGATGGCAAATAATGCAAGTTCTGAAGGCTATTTTATTTTACTGGGGTTTTCTAAGTGGCCTCACCTGGAAGCAACACTTTTTGTGCTTATCTTGATATTCTACTTGATAACATTGATAGGCAACTTGTTCATCATCATCCTGTCACACATAGACTCCCATCTCCACACTCCCATGTACTACTTCTTATCAAACCTCTCCTTTCTGGATCTCTGCTATACCACAAGCTCCATCCCCCAGCTGTTGGTGAATCTCTGGGGCCCAGAGAAGACCATTTCTTATGCTGGTTGCTTGGTTCAACTCTACTTTGTCCTCGCTCTGGGAACCACAGAGTGTGTGCTTTTGGTGGTGATGTCCTATGATCGTTATGTAGCTGTATGCAGACCATTGCATTACACTGTCATCATGCACCCTCGATTCTGTCACATGTTGGCTTTGGCTTGTTGGGTAAGTGGCTTTACTACCTCAGCACTTCATTCCTCCTTTACATTCTGGGTACCCCTGTGTGGACATCACCAGGTGGATCACTTCTTCTGTGAAGTTCCAGCATTGCTCCAATTATCCTGCGTTGATATCCATGCTAATGAGCTGACTCTCATGGTGATGAGCTCCATTTTTGTTGTCATACCACTTATTCTCATTCTCAGCTCCTATGGTGCCATTGCCAAGGCTGTACTGAGGATGCAGACAACTACTGGACTTCAGAAAGTCTTTGGGACCTGTGGAGCCCATCTTATGGTTGTTTTCCTTTTTTTCATTCCAGTCATGTGCATATATCTCCAGCCACCAACAGAAACTTCTCAAGACCAAGGAAAATTCATTGCTTTGTTTTATACTGTTGTCACCCCTAGCCTCAACCCTCTTATCTACACCCTCAGAAACAAAGATGTAAGAGGGGCACTTAGAAGACAGATGGGGTGATAGTGAGAGATGTGACAAGGTAGCCATATGTCCCCCAATTTTTCTTCATTGTGTCTAGCCAAACTTGAAGTATGATTTCTTTGCTTCTTTGAGATTTATTTTAAGTTGTCAACAATTCACTATACATTGGACTGTTCAGTTCTAAATTTATTATAATTTTTAGTGGTTAATTTTGAAATATTATTAAGAAATAAATGTTTTTGATTTGTACCAAATTAGGCTTTAAAAATTCTGTATTTCATTTCACTTGCTGGAGTATCAACATATAGAAATGTCTATGTCTATGTATATGTGTATGCACACACATTTGTACCATTATGAAGAGATTATTGCAAACATATTTGACATATTTCTAACAGACATTAGTATGCTAATTTATAAATTTGCCATTTATGTATATAATTTGTTTACATGTAATTATGTATCTCTATCTACATATTATATATATAATATATAATATGTATAATATATATATAATATATAATATATAATATATTATATATTATATATATATATCAAGATAGGAGAGGCAGACAGAGACTGAGAGAGAGAGAAGAATAACAGAGTTAATGGTGTTTTTGGTCATGGAACAGACTTCAAAATTAGCTAAAATATGTCACAGTAAAGGTTAATGGTAAATACGGCAAATAACATGGTTTATTATATGGTGAACTCTGGCTGAAGTATACTTTTTTAAAGACACTAAATTGCATGAATAATTTATTTAGTGGGTCTCTATAACTTGTCACATGAGACAGTATAGGAAAACATCTATTCAAAATAATTCATTTGTTCTTCCACCCACACCTAGCCTTCATTTATTCTTCATTCACTTCATTAACATTTTCTCTTAGAGCATTTTCTCTCTCCTGATTGTGGGATTCATGGTAACACAATATATCACACCTTACATCTAAACAGAACTTTTTTTATGGAGAAAATGGAAATATAAGATAAAAGTTGATCTATCTATATATGACTTAATTTGTTATTTTCTTTTCAGATTTAAAACAACAAGTAATGGGGCAATAAATTTTGATTCTAAGTACCAGTTAGTAATTCTGGTAAGAAGTTGATGCTGTTAAATGAAAGAAGAGGAAAAAATATTATACATTTAGTTTGCTTTAGTTGGTTTAGTTATTGACATATTGAAACTACCTTAAAACTTTTCTTTTTAAAGATTTTACATTAAAACAGAGAATCTCCACATAGTTATATAGAACAGTGTAATTGTTCAATGCATGTGCACAGTGTGAACTGATCAAATCCAGGAAATTAATGTTTCCATCTCCTTATTTTTACTGTGTACTTAAAAGATCTCTTAACATCAGTGTTCTTTGTTAAATTGTATTACTCTAAATAAGCCTTTACTTTTTTATTTTTCCAGATTAATGGAGATATGATTCACAAATAAAATTGTATATTTTCAAAGTGTACAAAGCAAAATTATGAGCCTATTATTCATGCAGGTTGAAATGAGTACCCCAGTCATAGTATCACTTCCATCATTTCATATGGTTACCATGTCATGTGTATGAATTTATGTGCAGTTGTGAACATGTAAAATCGTTTTTTAAGAAAGCTTCAAGTATGTAGTATGATATTACTAAATATATTCCCATGATCTAGATTACATTATCAGAACTTATTCATTTAATAACACAGTTTTTGTACCATTTGACCAATTTCTTTTTTCACTCCCCAATCCCTAGAAACCACCATGCTTGTATGAGTTCAAGCTCCCTACATTATACATTTATGTGAATCGTATTTATTTATTTGTGTATATTTACTTCATTTATCACAATGTCCTTTAGTTTCTTCCATGTTGTCATAAAGAGCAGGATTTTCTTTTTATGGCTGAATAACATTTCATTATTTAATATGTTATATATTCCTCTGTGTGTGTGTGTGTGTGTGTGATGTTTTCTTTATCTATTTATCCATCTATGAACACTTAGGTTGTTTTCTAACCTTGGCTCTTGTGCTGCAATGACAATGGGAGTGCAGATATCTCTTTGAGGTACTGATTTCATTTCTTTAGAATTTCTGCCCAAATATTTTTAGTTTTTGAGAAACTTACAAACTATTTTGAAATCTTATTCATTTTTAATGTTAGAAGTAATATCACCCATAAGCTTTAATTTTTTACTCTTAGTGATATTTAATTATATTGATGATCATAACTGAGAGATACTCTCAAGCCAGAGATAGATTTCTCACTGCCCTCTAGTTTTTCAGGGGATTTAGAAGTACATAGATGGTGTGAATAAGTCTCCAAATTGTGATTTATACTCTAAATAATGTGTCTTCATAAACTGGGAACCAGAAAATATGTATGTATTGTCCACTTACCGAATTGCATTTTTGTAATTCTTGAATATGTTGTACATATCACTCCTGGCATCAGAAACTAGAATAGTGCTACTTTACCATCTTGCTTTAAACACATAGATTCAGTTGAAGTTGGTCAATTTACAGAAATAGTGGTCTAAAGAATGAGTATTTGAATGCTCTATTTTTATTTTGCTTTTGTAGCTGCATCTAGATATTAATTGTAGTTTTGTAGGTATTAGACAGACATTCGTTGTAATTTTACATTCCTTTTATGATCTAGATGTGATTAAAATCCTGTGTGAATTATTTTAAAACTAAGATTAAAAAATATTATACAAATTCTCTCAGTTGCTGAATATGTCCTCATTACATTATTAACTCTGCCTGGATTCTCTGCCTGCAAAATTTGTTTTCATTGCTCTTTATACATATAATTTTTAAAATTTTCACCCAACATGAATGGTAATATAGGGTAGAGTTCCATGTGCTTGGACCTATTCCCCAACCCAGGCTTATATATGTAACATAATTCCTATAAATATCTGAGGTCATGTAATGAGATCATTTCACATATCACACAAGCTTAACAAATGAAGAGAGATTCCTTTGCCTCCACTTTAATCTTACATTTAGAATACCTCATGTGGCACTTCAGCTTCTGTATAAATGGATCTATTTTTTTAGGTTTATTGAAGTAAAATTTAAACATAATAAAATCTACACATTTTGAGGTATACAATGCAGTGCATTTTACTGAGTGCAAAACTGTAAACACCACCACAGTCAAGACATTGAACATGTCCATTAATCTCAAACTTGGTTTCCTTTTGTAGTTGATTTATTCCTTCCACCCATAACTTCACCCATAATTAGTTGACCTCTGATTTGCTTTCATTCCAGTTTTTCCATTGGTATAATAAATAAATGCAATTATATAGAACATAATGTGGCTTCTTTTATTCAGCTAGATGTTTTTTGAAATTTATTATGTCATTGAATTATCAGTTCTTTGTATTGCTGGTTATAATTCCAAATTATGAATAGGTAAAAATGTATTCACTTATCTGTGATGGACTTTGAGGTATCTTATAATTTCTATCTTCCATGAATCAGGTGGCCATGATAATTTATATAGAAGTATTTTTGTTGTCATTTTAAAGAAACTTAGTTAATACATAAGAATGGGGCTGATGGATGCTTAGTGTATATACACCTTTATAAGTGACTGTCAGAAAGTTATACAAAGCTGGTCTTCCTTTTTAACTTTAAACAGCAGAATATGAGAGTTCAAGCTGCCAAAACATGATGTTTTTCATGTTGTACTTTTAGCCTCTCAATCATGTTTATACTTATTTTTTATTGGGATTATAATTTTTTACTGTGGTTATAATTGAGGCTGGTGTTACCTTCTTTTTGTGTGCTTCATATATTTTATTTTGTGTAACTTACATTTAAATATTTTGCTTACTGTTTATTGGGTCATTTTTTGCTTATATTTATTTTTCAGGGTAATTTGTTCTAGACATAAACCCTTTGTGTACCTAATGTTTTGCTCATGTTTTCCTCTAGGTTGTAGATTACCTTTCATTTCTAAAATAATAATTTTGAAAGATTTTTATTATTTTATATTTTTAATTTTTTTAAAATATTTTTAAACATTTTTATATTTTTACATTTTAAAAAATACTATATGTTATTTCCATGCACACACACAAAAATGTCTACTAGAATTTCTATTATATTTGCATTGAATTATATCACTCTATTAGGAACTAACAACTTGACTTTGGCTTTTCTGATTTATCAATATAGCTTTTGTGTGCATTTATTTATCTTATTTTCTCTTGGAGCAATTTCAAGTTTTTGCTGTATAGATATTAACGTTTAGTCAAATCCATCCCTAAGTATTTAATTTTTGTAATATCACTATAGGAATACAGTGTGATTTTTAAATATTGACCCTATATGCTGTGAATGCACCTATTGGTAGTGTCTTTATAAATTCTTTTGGTTTTCTAAGTACATGATTGTGTCATCCAGAAATATAGACTTTTATTTATAAACCTGTAGCTTTTATGACTTCAATTTCTTTTTATGTGTTATTGTACGGGCTAGAATAGCTAGGATAATTTTGAATGGAAGAACTAGAAGCAACAATCTTTTCCTTAGCCTCAATCTTAAGGGGAAAGTATTCAGTCTTTTACCAGTACGTATGATATTGGCTTCTTTTTTTGTAGGTTTTCTTTTCAAGTTTGCGATTTTTTAAAAAATTATTCTTGGCTCACTGAGAGTGTTTATCATGAAAGGTTATATTTTGTTCAAAGCTTTTTATTTTCATTTTTTAAATTAATTTGTGTTTGTTTTAATTAGTCATATATGACAGTAGAATGCACTTATATACTTTGATATATCATATATAGATGGGATAAAATTTCTTATTTTTCTGAGTATACATCGTGGAGAATCATATTGGTCATACAGTCACATGTATACATAAAGTAATAATGTCTGTTTCATTCTACTATCTTCTTATCCCCACATCCCCTGCCTTCCCCTCCTTTCACTTCCCTCTACCTAATCTAAGGGAATGATATTCTTTTGTTGTTGTTGTTATTATTGTTTTTTTCTGCATTACAAATCTTTGTTGTTGTTGTTATCATTTT